ATATATATATATGTAGTGCATCACATGATATTATCAGCTACGCACCTGACCATGAATCCCACGCCCCAGGCTTGAAAACCGTCCTGAAGAGAGGCTGCATTAAAGTATAGTTTCAATGTCCAGATCGAGGCATGCCTGGTGCTCAGTGTTTAAAGCCGCCGACGAAACACCGCATGGTAGACCCTCCAAGCTTAGGCACATAACCCAAAACATCGAAGTCGAAATTCGTTCAAACCCGTGAACCTTAAATTGTAGATTGTTGAATTACGAAGGAGAAGCAGTGCATATCTTTGCAGCAGGACACCGGCAACCTTTGGAATCAAGAAGCTTGACCTAATAAGCAGACAAGAGGCACACGGGGGCCATCACGCAGAGGCCTCCAACACGAAGCCTCCTGATATACAGGAGGGCCAACCTGGATGGCAGACAGCGGATTGGAGGCAAAGGAGACACTTGTGTGACAACTGATTGCAAAATAATCGTGCTGCCTGGCTTCAGAAACCCCCATGGTTTCGAGATATCGTTCGTGTCGGAGTACGCATTGTCGAGTTTGCGGGCGTTATATCCTCGTTGCTGCGCAGCGTCGTAGATCGCCTCGTCGCCGGGGGGAGGAGGGGGGCGAGTGCTTCTGGGTTGCTGGTTTGTGTCGGCACAGTACACAGCATGCATGGGATTATTCACGCGCCGTGTGGCACCAACACCAGCGAAGATCTCCAGCACATCCAGATCTCCAAGAGTCGTGTCCTTGGGCACGCAGGTGTGAGCACGCTTAGGACCTGAATCATTTGTTGGTGTTGCTGTTCTTGTTGCTGCTGCTGCGGTGCAAACAAGAAGCGAAGTCCCTCATGTAGCTCATGAGGAACAGGATAGCAATCAGAGCACGAGGAGTGCCAGCATCCAGAAGCTTCTGAACATATGGTCTCGCCGCCATTTCTTTGGCGCCGATGTCACGACACAGACAGAAAGCTACACGAAATTGTTGCAAGATACGCAAAATGCAGATGCCCCCAGAACTTGTGGCAAAGTTCCTGCACATGCAATCAGTTGCACCACGGCATGCAACCCTAGAGAAGATGAGTCTGTCACAAAACACAGAACACATGATAATGTAATCTTGGTCCATGCATTCAAGACAGTCATTGGAATTGCACTCCGGATACGACTATCGTCAGGCACGCATAGCAAATCTGTTTCTTCTCCCTGCAGGCTCCCCTGTAGCAGGAAATCGCATGGAAACAACAGCTGCAAAACAGGGATGGTGACACCCTGTTGCGCCGAGCAGAAACTGTGTGGCATGACATGCGCTGCCCTTCAGAAGAAGATCTCTCCATGCATGCAACAGGTTTCGTGCTACAGCCCTGATACAAGCATCAAGAACCCAACACGCTGGTACCATGGCCGATCTTCTGTGCAGGCACAAGACGCTCATCAATAACGGCGGCGCTTGCGCTCATCCTCCGGAATGGAGTCCATCAGCACCCTCGGCCGTGCAATGATGCTTGTCAGATAGCATGAACACGCATGTCCTGTCATGCTTTGTAAGGCTATATAGCCAAGATTCGCCCTGATCTGGGAATGCCGCCAGAGTTTCACAGCATCCTGAAGTGCATGGGAATCTGTGGGCAGTCTCTGCAGGACAGGGGAACGTGCGAGCACAGAAGGACGGCGAGCAGTCAACTCAAAGCTGGGATCTCTGCTCGCATGCAGCAAAGGAACCATGTGTTTGATGCCTCTGGACCTCGCTTTCCTGCAGGAGAGCGAGGAATCAGAAACACCCTCAAGTCGAAGATGAAACAGCAAAACTGGATCTCGATCACAAGGGAACGAAGCTCAAGACAAGAGGCTCGAGGAAGGCCATGTAGACACTGTACACCGGGCCGTTGTGCGGATTGCTTTTTCGCTTCGGGGGCTGTTGATCTGTCGCAGCTTCCTGGGCAGCGAAACAATGAGATGCAGAAACTCAAGACCTGCTCAGCACCGTGTCTGTTTTGCATGCAAAAGACATGATCTTCGGCCTCAGCTTCTCCCTCGCCCTCGTCATCTTTCTCATCTCCGTGCTGCTGTTCTTCAGGGTCTGCCTGGGATGGAATCAGCGGCAAGAAGATGTGTGTTTAGGCACTGCATGCCAGGCAGACTCACGGAAAGCAATATTATGGGCCAGGATACATGCACCGGCTCGCCAGTCTCTTCATCATCACCTGTTGCAGCGGTTGTTTCCCCGTAGGTTTGGTCGAATGAGAAAAAGGGAAGACATATTCACTAGGTCATCTATACTGCGCTTAAGGTTAGCATATCGCGTCCGATGTGAGCACTTATCTCCGAGCTCCCGCCTGCAGCCACAGGAGCTGAGCAAAGCACACCGCCATCGCCAATATTCCATTGGCCTTCCGCTGAATCTACTGTCTTTCTCTCTCACTTGCATCGAGCATCACAGCGGGACAAGAAACGCCTTGGTTTTGCTTCGAAAGGACAAGCTGTGTCGGACTTCTGCCGGGAGTCATATTGCACGAAATTTTCTAGTC